CAGCCGGGCTCTTAATTTCTTGCGTGAAAGAGGGAATTTCAACCCCACATCAATAATGATCGATTTTGAAATGGCTGCCAAGAACGCTATCCACCAAGCCTTCCCAAATGCAGAGGTGAAGGGATGCCTGTTCCATCTCTGCCAAAGAATTCACGAAAGGGTAAGTTTTGAATAAAACTTTGTTTTATATAATTTGCAACCCTCATTGTTATTTTATTCGATATTCTTTTAAATTTCAGATAAAGCAAGAAGGACTGCGGGATCAGTACAATGAAGATGAAGAGTTCCGCGTGCAGTCAAGAATGATCAGCGCTGTGGCCTTCAAACCCTTGGTGGATACCGAGGTGGCTTTCCAGCAGCTCTCGGAGATGGCAAGGCCGGAACTCATCCCCATCCTCAACTATTTTGAGGATACGTACGTTGGACGGCCACAGCGCAGAGACAATGGTCGACTGGCCCCAAGATTCCCTCCACAGATGTGGAATGTGCATGAAGCAACACTCCAAGGTGGAGCACGGACAACGAACCACGTGGAAGGGTGGCATCGCCGATTCCAAGTGGGGGTTGGAGCCAACCATCCCTCATTCTGGGTCTTTCTAGGCTTTCTGAAGGGCGAGCAGGTGTTGTATGCTACATTATAATTAACGAGGATCGCTCTAGCCAGGCGAGGCAGTGGGACTAATTGTCCTGTTTGTTGTTCGTTGTTGTTTTTGTAATGACACGGGATGCGTCTCCTAGCCCCGTAAGCGGTCAGATCCAAATGTCGCCGGGCAATGTTGGAAATCATACAAATAGAGAAGCTCGGGCAGACAGAAGAAGGACCTACCCAGGAGGGGTTACCTACCATGATGTAGAGAGATTGAGACGAAGGGACCTAGGTACCCAGCTAGGTTGCCGTATGTATGCATATATGTTGTATGTGATCGTAGTTACTAATAAAGTCATAGTTCACTAGAAGCTGCGACAACGTCATCTCTCTACTGGTTATCACACGACTACGCTGCTACTCTACGCTTTCGACCCTACAGAACTACACGGAGATCAACAACACATTCGCTGACACAAAGTACCCCAACAACAACAATTTATTGTTTATATTTGAGACACTTTAAAAAGTTTTCTAGCCCTTGACTTTCACACAAGGCGTCTGAAAAAACTTTAACCAGGTTAAATAAGAATCCTAGAGAACATTTCAGGACTGACAGAACTCAGTGACGATAGTTCAGTCACTGAACTTCCTTTCCTCATCTCCTTTGACTCTCAGAATATTAGTTTCTTTGAGAAAATGTCATTCACGGGCGATGAGTCCATGGTTCTAGGAGAGCCGCCAAGTCCATCAGGATCTGGTGGGAAGAGAGGCGCTGGTGGCTCAGGTGCAGGCGGCATGCCAGAGGCGAGAGGAGAGAGAAGAAAGGAAGAGAGAGATATTCCATCAGATGAAGCTGAAGGTGTCCTCAGGAACTTGACTGGTCCAGGGGCTTGGGAACCTGTGGATAGACGATGACTTTTCACAGTTTATAGAGGAGATCAAGTTCTCCGGATTCAGGCCGAACACTATTAGAGATGTGTTCTATGAGAAAGCCATCGATCTAGAAATAGACACCGGGGTGGCTAGTGCAGACATTACAGACTCTGATAGATGCTTCAACAGGATGATGAAGGATGCCATTTCGGTGTGCTCCATCGTTCTTATTAGTGGGACCCAAGTCATGAACAAGCTAGGAAAGCTTAAGAACGCCAGTATTGTAGAGGCCCTTCAGAGGAACTATTCGATCAGTTCCAGGCCGGGGAACCGCCTTGATCCCTCTCTCCTTACGTTTGGCAGAATGACAGCCGCATTCCCGAAAATGATTCCGCGTCCTCCTTGAAAGTCATCTGGAAGACGTGCCCCAGTGCATATCAATATTTTGACACTGACCTCAGCTTGGATCCGTGCTTATAATTTCCAGGAGCATGCTCCATCATTCCTACGGAGTGGCAGGTATGGCAATCCGAGCACCTGGTGTGGACATGCAGGTTTAGTCTCACCATCGCCGGAGAGATTTCCGCTGAGAGAAGACGCCCGGTGTTGGAGAATGCTAGGACTTTCTGGAGAGTTTCTTCAGATTCCGATGAGTGGAAAGGAGAGAAAAGAGTCGAGCACATGCTCGACCTAAAGCTGTCTCGGCCAGCTGAGACAGGATTAATGGAAGTCCTTGGCAGGAGATCAGCAGCGGGGGGCGCAATGGCTGTTGCTAGGGAGATCGCTCAGCTGGGTTTCATAGCTCTGAATCCACGCATGTTTGATGTCTGAGAAAGAAAGAAAGAAAAACAAGAAAATCAACCAAAAAGGTTTTTGTAAACATACATATTTTTTAATATATATATTTTTTTAAAGGAACTGTCAAGCACTTCGCAACTACTAGCGCCAGCTTAGACAAGAACTAGTGTGTGTCTATATATTGTTTTTAAGAGTTCCACACCACTAAACTTTTGTGTGAATGGTCATTTATCCTTTGTGTTAACCTATAAGTGATTTTTATTAGTTCATAATGTTTGGAAGTTTTTTTCTAGAAACTGAACATATTAAATTTACTATAGGTGAATGCTGTCAGCGAGGTTGAGCGGACAGGCAAGGAATGCTGCAAAAAGTGGCAGTACACCCAGAGTGATGTAAAGCAAAAAGGCAGCTAGGAGGAAAAAAGATGGATCTGCAACTGGACACTCAATGTGCCAGACCTCTCTCCCATTGAGGAAAAGATTGCTTCTCTGCTTCCCTCAGCATCGACCCAAGGTATTGCTGGGGGTGTGGAAAGCGGCATAGGACGCACTTCGCCCGCTTCGCAGTCCGCTTCATCCGTGACTGACGAGGAATCATCACAATCGCGGTCACCTTCACCTATGCCTTCACCGCCACGGAGAGCTCGCAGCGCGCAATTGTTTACGCAGCATGAACTCACTAAGGAAGGCTGGCAGCAGCAACATTCGGCGAAGAAAAGAAAGCATGAAGAAATTGTGGAGCCGGATGAACTCATTAGCATCGAACGGCAGAGATTGTGTGTGGAGGAGGAGAGCTTGACAACGAAACGGGAGCGGCTGCGAGTTGAAGAGGAATGCCTTGAAGTGGAAAAACAGCTATTGGAAATAGAGAAGAAAAAATTTCAGATAAAGAGATGGGCGTGGACGCAAGAACAATGTAGTGCGCAAACCAGCTTTGTAAATAGTACAATAGTACAAGTGTTCTCATGCGGTGGACAACATAAACTAATGTACTGGAAAAGTTTTAGTGCAAAACCTGTTGAGAGGCAAAAACCATGAGAGAGCAAATTGTGCGACAATTATTTCCAGAAGGGACATTTTGCAAAGGTTTGCATGCAGAAGAGTGGTTGCACAGTTGAAGGTTGCAGAAGAAAGCATCATGCTTTACTTCATCCCCTTTATTTACCTAGACATCAATAAGGTGTTGGACATGTCACAGCGACTAGAACTGGACAGCGTGTATGGTTTCGTGTTGTTCCAGTAAAAGTGAGGAGTCGAGATCATGATGTTTAAACATGTCCTTCTGAACGAGGGATCGGACATTTCACTATGTACAAAAGGATTAGTGGACCGACTGGGCATCAGTGGTGTCAGTATACCGTTTTCCTTGAAAACTGAAAACAGCAAACAGAGTCCAACACAAGGTATGGAGGTCAAGCCTTGTGTGAGCGGTCTGGATAGAGAATCGGATGGCGTTAATCTGGATAAAGTGTGGAGTGTCAACAAGTTACCCATCTCTGAGCAGTCGATTTCAACTATGAGTGATGTAGAAAAGTGGTCTCATTTGAAAAAGCTAGAGTTACCATCCTCAGAAGTTACCATCCCCAAAAGTTACCATCCTCATAGGCAGTGATGTACCTGACGTCTTTTGGGTGCTCGACCAGAGGCGAGGCAAGAAAAAGGAGCCATATGCAATAAAGTCAGTGTTGGGATGGACGCTCATGGGACCCGTGAGTGCCTCAAGGAGCTCGGATTTCAGTGTGAACTTTGTGAAACATGAAGACGAGCTTCTGTCACGCCAGGTTGACAAATCATTGAACAAATCGGAAGATGCAACCCAGCAAACACGGAACATTATCGTAACATTCGCTGGATGTTCTAGTTTGGTTACATTAGCCAAAAATATTCTAAGAACATTCCCATAATGTTATGCATTCATTGGTTTTAGTCTTTTACTTGGTGAGAGAGTTATGTTCTTGGAATGTTCGGAAAACATTAACCGTCCTCGGATGGGTTCGAAACTCTTAATT